TTCTTTCTTTCTTTCTTTCTTTCTTTCTTTCTTTCTTTCTTTCTTTCTTTCTTTCTTTCTTTCTCCATCCAATTTATATGGATGCCTCTCTCAACTATATACCCTGGGTGGTGAACTGAATTAAAATAAAATAAAAATTATTATTATAAATATTACAAAAATTAGAGTGCAAAGCAGCCGAACCAAATAAAACCCAGATCAGTAACACAGCCAAGAAGCAGTAGCCCTAAACACACTCAGGGCCAGGGCCAGGCACAGAACTACATTTTAGGGCCTTACAAAAAGCCATCGTCAGGATCATTCTGATCTCTGGAGGGGGAACATTCTACAAAGTGGACCAGTGGTGGGTTTCTATTACTTTTACTACCGGTTCGCTCATAGACGCATGCACACAATGCTTCTGCGCATGTGCCGAAGCGTCTGGGCAGGTGGATGGAGCCCCCCGCCTCTGCTACTACTGATTCACCTGATCCGGGCTAAACCAGCAGCAACCCACCTCTGAGATGGACGCTACAACAGAAAAGGCACATCTTCTAGACTCTGCCAATGACTATTCTTTGGCTGATGGGACTCAGAGCATGCCCAGACTGTTTAACTGGATCCAATGGGTAGAAACAACTGAGGAAAGAAGGTTCTTCAGGTAACTAGTCCAAAGGCATGAAGAGCTTTAAAGGTGAAAACCAGCGCCTTGAATTGCACCAAAAAGAAAACCACTGACAATCAATGCAGCTCATGGAGTTTTGGTGTTATATGCATCTCATATTATTATCCATGCCACCACATTCTGCTCCAGTTGAAGTTTTGGAATGCATTTCAAGGGCAGCCTCACACAGGGCACATTGCAGTAACCCAGATGACAAGTCAGGATTGCTTATCATTGATCTGACCATCTTTCTTTTGTTACAATGATGATTCTAGGTATCATATCCTGGCTGGAGAAACCCGTGGAGAAGTCCTTGATTATTCATTCAATAACGGTAGCTGTGTTGTGCTGAAAAGTGAAGACCAAAGAACTAGATATCGTCTACCTGCTAACCTCTACAACATCACTTTTGAGGTGATTAAAAAAATAAGACTGGGCACTATATTAGCTATTGAACAACTTCAGTGTATGCTCATCAACTTTCCTCCTAGATTTACCTCTCTGTTTAGCTACCCACCTAAGAATTGGAAGATGTATTCCAAAGGAGCAGGATGGGGAGCAGTCTAACCATGGGAGGAATGATTTCACAAAGGTGCTCCTCCTTTGTTCTTGGAACAATAGCAATAGCAATAGCAGTTAGACTTATATACCGCTTCATAGGGCTTTCAGCCCTCTCTAAGCGGTTTACAGAGTCAGCATATCCCCCACAATCTGGGTCCTCATTTTTCCCCCCTCCGGAGGAACGGAGGCCTG